CTCTAGCAACGCTTAAGTTCTTTTGGTCGGTCTTCAATCTCCACCCTCCACAAGGAGGTCGTCACCCTCTTCTGGCCAAGTCCATGTGTTTCTCTGTCGAGCGGCACGATGGCTCCGGCCAATGGATCTAGACCTGCAAAAAGGACGCGAAAGGGAGTATGGTGACCCAACACGGATGCAATTTGGTGAGTTCGCGTTGAAAGAACCCCCTGCAAGGGTACCATCAACAAATGACACACCCAAAAAAGACGCCCACGAATTATTGCAAGGCCCGCTTTTCATGCCATTTAGGCACCTTGGCCCACCAACTTCTTTCACAGCAGTCTGAAGTGTAGGTGGCTTCTGAGCAGGCAAGGGTGGTCGAATCAACAAAATGCAATGAACCCTCTTGCCCTGTGGCCACGGGGATGACATGGATTTGTCTGCTGTCTTTGCCTAAAAAGCAACTGAAGGAAACATTTCCACTCATTGCTTGTTTTCTAAACACAACATGCTTGGAACGGCAATCCATGCATGAATGTGATCTCCTTTTGTGAATCATGGGTTCTTTGAAGGGACATTTAAATCCTGTGAGGTGTTTTTACAACCCCTGCGATGGAGAATGCCCGCAAAACGCCAGGGACGGTAACAGCCGCCCCGCAAAAGCTTGCGTGGGACTATCCCGACTCTCCCCTATAAACCTGCTCTGGGAGCATTCAACAGATCTCAGTTGGCACAGTCACCCCGAGTGACTCATGGGAAATGGCGAAGGAGGTGTGTTCCGTAGTCTTATGAGTTGAAAAAAAGGATCCTAAACTACCAGCAATGCATTCCTTGGTAGACATAATTTGTGTTGGGATGTATGTGTGTGTTTTTGCACCAACTATATTAGTTTTGGATGACAGGGTAAAAGCCCAAATCAACACAATTTCACCCCTTGTGTGAACCCCGAGTAAAACAGTTGATTGGTAAACCATTTATTGCCGGAGCATGCAAAATTTTGAGGCTCCTCTCAACATTCGTAGCCATGTTAGGTCAAACTTGGGAATTGTTTAACGAATGGAGTTCGGTTCCCTTGGTCCCTTTCAAAGCCAAATCGAAATCAACTCGGATGGCCTAAACGCGGTGGGCTACTGCAGAGCTCCGCAAAGCCCAGGCCCTCGCAGAGGATCGCGTGCGCCTCCCGAGCGCCGAAAGGTCGCTGTCTTGAACGTTTCTTGAGAACTTCTCAAACCGACGCGCAAGAAACGATTTTTAAAGCATGGAGCCAGGTCATGTCGAATCTGTGCATGGACCAATCATGGGACCCCCGCAAGAAGGTGTGTGGGCGTGTGTCTGTGAGTTGGCTTTGTGGTGAAGGGTTTGAGGGAAACCAAATGGACACCGAAATCCATTTTGGGGTCCCTCTAGTTTGACACAGAGGGTGGGACAGGCAAGCCCAATGGGTTCTGGCCCATTCAAAGGAAAAGGACTGCCGAGAACAAGGATGCTGCAACTGCAGTATGCAGAATGTTTGTAGACTCGGAGCTTGCCAGTCTATAAAAGTACCCCTATCACGTGCGTGAATATAACCATAGCTATGACCTATGACACAGTCCAAACAATGACTGACAATTCTTCATTCATTTGGTGCAAATGTATGAGGCGGAGCATGGAACATAATTGAAATGCATATTCCTCCTTCAAGAATACTCAATGAACGGACGAGGCTTGGCGCTGCGCGCGGAAAACGTGCGAACCCCGCAGAGCGGAAAAAAACAACCAAATGTGCGGAAACACAAAGCACAGTCTCTGCGGAAAAAGCGGACCCCCAAGACAACCTTCGTCACGGCCCCTTTTCCAGAGGGATTGGGCCGTGATGAGGGTTGTCTCGGGGATCCGCTTTTCGAGCTGGAATGCCGGATTCCAGCTCGAAAAGCGGATCCCCAAGACAACCTTCATCACGGCCCCCTTGCAGGAGGGATTGGCTGGGGATCCGCTTTTCGAGCTGGAATGCCGGATTCCAGCTCGAAAAGCGGACAACCAAGACAACCTTCAGCACGGCCCCCTTTCAGGAGGGATTGGCTGGGGATCCGCTTTTCGAGCTGGAATGCCGGATACCCGCTCGAAAAGCGGATCCCCAAGACAACCTTCATCACGGCCCCCTTTCAGGAGGGATTGGCTTGGGATCCGCTTTTCGAGCTGGAATGCCGGATTCCAGCTCGAAAAGCGGATCCCCAAGACAACCTTCATCACGGCCCCCTTTCAGGAGGGATTGGCCGAGCTCCTTTCAGGAGGGATTGGCCGGGGATCCGCTTTTCGAGCTGGAATGCCGGATTCCAGCTCGAAAAGCGGATCCCCAAGACAACCTTCATCACACCCCCGGAATGCCGATTCCAGCTCGAAAAGCGGCAACCTTCATCACGGCCCCCTTTCAGGAGGGATTGGCCGGGGATCCGCTTTTCGAGCTGGAATGCTGGATTCCAGCTCGAAAAGCGGACCCCCAAGACAACCTTCATCACGGCCCCCTTTCAGGAGGGATTGGCCGGGGATCCGCTTTTCGAGCTGGATTGCCGGATTCCAGCTCGAAAAGCGGCCTTCATCACGGCCCCCTTTCAGGAGGGATTGGCTGGGGATCCGCTTTTCCAGTTGGAATGCCGGATTCCGGCGCGAAAAGCGGACAACCAAGACAACCTTCAGCACGGCCCCCTTTCAGGAGGGATTGGCTGGGGATCCGCTTTTCGAGCTGGAATGCCGGATTCCCGCTCGAAAAGCGGATCCCCAAGACAACCTTCATCACGGCCCCCTTTCAGGAGGGATTGGCTTGGGATCCGCTTTTCGAGCTGGAATGCCGGATTCCAGCTCGAAAAGCGGATCCCCAAGACAACCTTCGTCACAGCCCCCTTTCAGGAGGGATTGGCCGGGGATCCGCTTTTCGAGCTGGAATGCCGGATTCTCGAAAAGCGGATCCCCAAGACAACCTTCATCACAGCCCCCTTTCAGCAAGGATTGGCTGGGGATCCGCTTTTCGAGCTGGATTGCCGGATTCCAGCTCGAAAAGCGGATGCCCAAGACAACCTTCATCACGGCCCCCTTTCAGGTTTTCGAGCTGGAATCCGGCATTCCAGCTCTAAAAGCGGATCCCCAAGACAACCTTCATCACGAACCCCTTTCAGGAGGGATTGGCTGGGGATCCGCTTTTCGAGCTGGAACGCCGGATTCCAGCTCTAAAAGCGGATCCCCAACACAACCTTCATCACGGCCCCCTTTCAGGAGGGATTGGCCGGGGATCCGCTTTTCGAGCTGGAATGCCGGATTCCAGCTCGAAAAGCGGATCCCCAAGACAACCTTCATCACGGCCCCTTTTCAGGAGGGATTGGCCGGGGATCCGCTTTTCGAGCTGGAATGCCGGATTCCAGCTCGAAAAGCGGATCCCCAAGACAACCTTCATCACGGCCCCCTTTCAGGAGGGATTGGCCGGGGATCCGCTTTTCGAGCAGTTCCAGCTCTAAAAGCGGATCCCCAAGACAACCTTCATCACGAACCCCTTTCAGGAGGGATTGGCTGGGGATCCGCTTTTCGAGCTGGAATGCCGGATTCCAGCTCTAAAAGCGGATCCCCAACACAACCTTCATCACGGCCCCCTTTCAGGAGGGATTGGCCGGGGATCCGCTTTTCGAGCTGGAATGCCGGATTCCAGCTCGAAAAGCGGATCCCCAAGGCAACCTTCATCACGGCCCCCTTTCAGGAGGGATTGGCTGGGGATCCGCTTTTCGAGCTGGACTGCCGGTTTCCGGCTCGAAACCTCAAGACAACCTTCATCACGGCCCCCTTTCAGGAGGGATTGGCTGGGGATCCGCTTTTCGAGCTGGAATCCGGCATTCCAGCTCGAAAAGCGGATCCCCAACACAACCTTCATCACGGCCCCCTTTCAGGAGGGATTGGCTGGGGATCCGCTTTTCGAGCTGGAATGCCGGATTCCGGCTCGAAAAGCGGATATCCAAGACAACCTTCATCACGGCCCCCTTTCAGGAGGGATTGGCTGGGGATCCGCTTTTCGAGCTGGAATGCCGAATTCCGCTCGAAAAGCGGATCCCCAAGACAACCTTCATCACGGCCCCCTTTCAGGAGGGATTGGCCGGGATCCGCTTTTCGAGCTGGAATGCCGGATTCCGGCTCGAAAAGCGGATCCTCAAGACAACCTTCATCACGGCCCCCTTTCAGGAGGGATTGGCTGGGGATCCGCTTTTCGAGCTGGAATGCCGGATTCCAGCTCGAAAAGCGGATCCCCAAAACAACCTTCATCACAGCCCCCTTTCAGGAGGGATTGGCTGGGGATCCGCTTTTCGAGCTGGATTGCCGGATTCCAGCTCGAAAAGCGGATCCCCAAGACAACCTTCATCACGGCCCCCTTTCAGGGGGATTGGCCGGGGATCCGCTTTTCGAGCTGGGAATGCCGGATTCCAGCTCGAAAAGCGGATCCCAGACAACCTTCATCACGGCCCCCTTTCAGGAGGGATTGGCTGGGGATCCGCTTTTCGAGCTGGAATGCCGGATTCCAGCTCGAAAAGCGGATCCCCAAGACAACCTTCATCACGGCCCCCTTTTCAGGAGGGATTGGCCGGGGATCCGCTTTTCGAGCTGGAATGCCGGATTCCAGCTCGAAAAGCGGATCCCCAAGACAACCTTCATCACGGCCCCCTTTCAGGAGGGATTGGCCGGGGATCCGCTTTTCGAGCTGGAATACCGGATTCCAGCTCGAAAAGCGGATCCCCAAGACAACCTTCATCACGGCCCCCTTTTCAGGAGGATTGGCTGGGGATCCGCTTTTCGAGCTGGAATGCCGGATTCCAGCTCGAAAAGCGCATCCCCAAGACAACCTTCATCACGGCCCCCTTTCAGGAGGGATTGGCTGAGGATCCGCTTTTCGAGCTGGAATGCCGGATTCCAGCTCGAAAAGCGGATCCCCAAGACAACCTTCATCACGGCCCCCTTTCAGGAGGGATTGGCCGGGTCCGCTTTTCGAGCTGGAATGCCGGATTCTTAGAAAGGACTTAGAAAGGAGCCTTAGAAAGGAGCCTTAGAAAGGAAGCCTTAGAAAGGAGCCTTAGAAAGGAGCCTTAGAAAGGAGCCTTAGAAAGGAACCTTGGAAAGGAGCCTTAGAAAGGAGCCTCAGGAGCCTCAGAAAGGAGCCTTGGAAAGGAGCCTTAGAAAGGAGCCCTAGAAAGGAGCCTTAGAAAGGAAGCCTTAGAAAGGAGCCTTAGAGAAAGGAGCCTTAGAAAGGAGCCTTAGAAAGGAAGCCTTAGAAAGGAGCCTTAGAAAGGAGGCTTAGAAAGGAGCCTTAGAAAGGAACCTTAGAAAGGAGCCTTAGAAAGGAGCCTTAGAAAGGAACCTAGAAAGGAGCTTCCTACCCCTATACTTTTCCGCGTGTAGTGGCTTCATTTCCGTAAGCAGTGACAGTTTCACTTCCGTAAGCAGTGACACCTTATCCGCTCAGAGTGATCATGATTCCGCAAGATGTGACAAGTCTTATGAACGGACACTATTTATGGTGACTTGGCAGTCTGAAAAGGGCTGGGTCTGTTTATGCCCCTTTTGAATGCTTTCGCAATTCCACAAGCACATGCTGAAACAAAACAATAAGCCATGAAGCCATGCACAAGAACTTGAGTCGATCACTTGGATCCCATGCCCGTGTTGAGTCCCAGGGCCCCGGACTCGGCGGAACTCCTCCCGGAGGCACGTGTAAAGGCGCACCTCCGCGTGCCCCGGGAAGTGAGCGACGCGGGATTCAGTTCTATTCCCCCGGTGCAACATTCATCTTAAGCAACTACATATGGGCAGCAGGCGAAGCTGAGCCTCGAAGCTTTCCAAGATCCCTGTCTTCAGATGGGTTGGCAGTTGAAGATAAAGAAAGACACATAAAGCCAACCCAAGAAGCGAAAGGAACCGCGAGACCTATGAATGAAGCGGTTAGACACATTGCCTTTTCCTTTCCTATCTCTTGGTCTCTTCCCATGGTCAGCGATTCCAAGAGATGTCAAACACTGGAAATGAATGGGAAGAAATGACCGTGAAAGAAGCTCCTAAAGTAATATCTGGAGAAGAATTGTCTGCAGACCTCTCTAATACTCTGCAGGGAATCCAAAAGCGGGGTCGCCCCAAAAGAAGAATCCACTTCCTGGTGGAGGGTGTTTGGGTTCCGTGTCAATCTGAGGAGTGTATTCGCAACATCCAGCTCCCGCCTCAATGTTGGCCACATCTTTGGTAGGCTCGAAGGGGTTGTCCACCACGTAAAATGATTGACCTGCCCACAGCCCGGTGACCAAAAACGACAATCACCAAGGCTGAACTAGGAGTGCTGTGAACCCGACCGAAAAACAAATGCCTCAGTTGCTGATTTCTCACATGCCGCGCGTTGACGGCTGACACGCCTGAACGTACGGGTAGCTCTGTACCGGCCACACACTCATGGTTCGCTCTCGTTTGATGTAGAGGCCACCCCAGTTTCAAACCTCCCAGGAGGCCTGCTTCCATGCAGCCTTGCAGTGAGGCCCTGAACTTAAGACTTAGTTAGCATAGCTCACTGGACCCTGTTCACCCAGTGAAGTGATGTTCAACTGGGTATGTGTCAAAATAGGAGAGCCCAGCAATGGTGCTTCAAATGTTGGTCTCCCTTTAAACCAGCCTAAAAAGGGTACCCTCAAAATCAGACACACACACACACACACATGTCCGGAATGAACATGATTGGCGACCTGGTGGATGTGCAGTTTGATTGCAGCGGCCGGCTAATGCAGTAGATAACACAGGTGCACACCTGCCAGTACAACTGCGTGCAAGGCTGCCGGACTGATTCTTTGGGCCCCTCCAATGCTGGAAAACCCTAAACAAAGGCACACAAAAGCCAAATCTGCAAGATTCAAGGGTGGAAAGGCTGGCGCGCCCCTGGACAGCCACAGGAACCATAGACTGCACGTCATTCTCAACCCGGTCTGTTTCCAAGACTATCAGGTAAGACGAACTGATTTGTCACAGGGTGCATCGAGCGACGTCTCTGGTTGGCAAAACGGGTTGATCCTTGTGCCCGCGACATAACCAGAAGTAATACCCGCTTATGAGACGTTGCAGGAAGGATCCCACCCCAAACGCACACGCATTGGGGTCGCCACCCGAGTTTCTTTGTGAGGGCAAAGGCGAGCCTGGCTCAAACCGTGGAGTGAAGGAGGAGATGTCACGGATGGCGATGACTCCGGTCTCGTACACCTTCGAAAAGGAAGGAACATGGGTGTGAACTTTAACGGGAGACCCTTTGGTGGACATCAAGCTGGCGAAGTATGCCCGACCTCTTCTTTGGTGGTTCACACCAAATGCAAGCGCCAAGAACCGAACCGAGTCAACGTTTAATTCATACGTATCTGGGCAGATCACAGGTACCACCAGTGTCGGTTTATCACAAGTTCGTCCCATTTGGCGTTTTTTGGGGATTGCAAGGGTTGAGTGCGTTCAACCCCTGATCGGGGTCACCTCCGCCTTTTGGCTGTGGCAGTTGGCAGTGGTGCAGGAATTGGGTGCCGATAGTCCATTGAACGGTCCAGGTAAAGTACTTTCTAAGAAGGCACCAAATCATCCCTGTTTTGAGTCATTTTCTATGAGATGTGGCAACGCAAACGGTGTAGTCACATACTCCTAAGCAGCCATCACTTAGTGCATGCAGCAGGACTCCTGGAGGGTTGTTTACCCACTTTATGCTGATGCGTTTGGCTCAAATGAAGGTGCGTTTGTCATCAGGGTTTCTCTCCGCAGCCGGGTGGGAGCGGGGTCAAAAATTATTTGGTCCCGGTTTCCCGGTTTGCTGTGGTTCTTTCCTGTTTGAGATTCTATCCTTCAACAACCATCCTCAAATCACTTCTCAATGGAGCAGCCAACAAGGCATGCAATCGCTTCGCTTGCCACATTGAAATCGGTGTCTCATAATTTTACAGCAGACCAGGGTCGTCCCTGACACAACATCGCAGAGAAAAAAGAAAGAAACAACACATGTGGGTATAAATTTCAATTGTTAACACCTCGGCTGCCATGTACACAGAACCATTTGGAAGGACTTTCGCCATTAAAATTCACAGCCACATCTCCATGGGTTTTCACGTGCCCTAAGGCTGTTGCGTAAAAAAACATGGCACCCGCGCACAGACTTGCCTTTACACTTGCAGGATTACTCTTTTGTGTTCCCAGACTTTTTCGCGCCTACAGGCTCCATGGATGTTCTTTTTCTAATAGCGAAACAAAGGGGACCACCCGAAACCCATTAATGGAGAGAACTGCTCAAGCCCATGCTACATCAACAAAACATATGTTTGTTTGCCGCTCCATCATTGAGTGAAGCTTCACTGATGCAGGACTTGATGCCAATCGCGGGCCGACCAAAAACCAAACCTGAAGTATGGGCTCGTCTCTGAATGGGGACGGTCCACGGGTGGCTGCCCTTTGTTTGCATTCTGCACGGGCCCAACAAGCGGTATAGAATGCAAGCTGTGTGATTTAGTGATTCCTGGATGTTGCCGCATCTCTTGGATGGATTTGTAGCAATATTCAAGGACAATAAAGCATGGAAACTCGATCCCTCTAGGAAGCAGGTTGCATGTCGAAGGCTTTTCGACATACAACAAAGATGGCACTCTTGTGGAACGTTCGAATTCACCAGCCCGTTCAATGAAACGACCGAGAAGCCTCATTGTATGATGTTCATGCATGGTGTTGTGCAAGCTGTGTTGTTCATGAAATTGTGAGTAGTCAATTGTCACACGGATCCAAGTTTGTATCAGCTTCTGCGCCCGCCAAAAGCAATTTTGATTCTGGTCCATTTGAATAAACAAGACATTCAACATATTTCCAGTTGCATTGCCCGGCCCGTGTTTCCTTTCGAGGCGCATAGCCGAAGTAGCGGAAGAACTCTAGAAGGAGCTCTCCCAGGCTCTCCTCGCGTGTGGTCAAAATATACTTGCTTCCCCAACAGGACATGGGAAAATTCGTGAGTCCCCTGGTTTCTGTGGACAAATGTAGAGACTCCCCATGTTACCGGCGGGCCACGGACGTCATGTTTCCTCTTCCGCTTAAACTGGCCCTCAATGAGGGTAGCTGGTGAAAGGAAACCAAACGAATCGAGCATGCACAAACCCACTTTCGAGGCAGTTCAAGGGTGCCTAGGTTTGTTCTTCCTTGGGCTGTGCTTTGTTTGGACGGTAATTGAGGCTTGGGGAGGGCGCAACTGTTGCTTGGAAAGCATGTTTTACCCACCGCGGGAATGCTTGTAACTTTGGAAAACGGCGCTGCATGATAATTAGCGGGTGGCGCCCCGGCAAAACAAACTTTATGCAATCAATTGCCATTATTGCATGAATTTCGGTCTGTTCAACCCGTGTCTTCATACTTTGACATTCGGCGACTCTGTTCAAAGCCAAGGCGCCACTGAGACGTCACACACAACACCCAAAGACGGCGTCATGCAGAAACCGCGCGCCAAGGATGATCCGAAGATTGCAACATTGATCCCTCCCAGTTCTGGTGTCGACAGAAGCTAGTTTCAGCCCACTGCTATACCTGCCGTGGAAATGCGAAGTCACACAGTAAAGATTTGGTTTTGGGCGTGAGTCAGATGTTCCGAAGAAAGCAAACGCAGTAGAAGACGTAGCTGCCAAACGGGGTGTCCAAGCAAAATCTTAGTTGCTCTGTTGCGGGTGGCTTTAATCAGCAATACATGCCCAGGTGTTCAAAGAATATCAACAAGTTGACGCTAGCATGAAGCTCACGCTTGAGACTCGACTGGGGCGCTGACCATACCTGCATCATAACAAAAATGAAAGCTTGTCTAGCCTGTCAGCCAACCAAATAGCATGGCTACAGTTGACTCGGGGTATCGGTTCTGGGTAGACCCCCAATCGGTTTCCTGTGGTATTGTCATATGGAGGCTCAAGAGCAATGCACGCCTGGCCTCGAGTTTGGCCACTAATCTCATTCTCATGAGTTTGAAGCATGAAGTGGTCTTCCCACGGACTGCCTTCATGTTCGGCGTTAGCGTGCTCAACTTGGGACCATGACTTGCCTGGTCTCCTCGTTTCCTGTCAAAAACGCTCTCCAAACCGTGTGCGACATACTTCAATAAAAGGGTTCTTGGCAATTGGCTAGTAACCCTCGTTACAACCCACCCATGATTTTAAGCCTCCAAAGTGGGTGCTGATCTGCTTACTATCGAGCAGAGTAGTAAAAACGGAAGCTGAAAAACCGGGCGTATGGACTCGCCTCAGCCAGAGCTCCTGCCTCATTTGGGCCACAGGACTTTTGAAGCTCCGCGAGGTGCAAGTGGATTTGCGGAAGGTCGCCTAAGCCCGACTCCGACGAGTTGCATGACTTGCCTAGGCCTCCATAGGGAATTTCAAAACAAAACTTTGGGAATGAACCTAGGGATCCTTCAAAAACAAACAGCAAGGGATGCACTTCCATTTCATTGGGGAGTTTCTTGCCTGATTGCTGCGGACCAGCAGCATGAACATGGAGGCAGGGCCAGAACTTCTCCAGCTGGAATAATTCAGTTCGGAGCTAGGCCGGCGCTTTAACACATCATTTGTGATTCCATGAAGCGGATAATTATGGTATATAAAGAACTTGAAAGTAACATAGGCACTTTGAGCCGAGAGAGTTGTTATGCTGAGATTGGCACTGCCAGCCAGCATGCGGCTAAGCTACTTAGCAACCCTTCACAAGCCGAGTGTTGATCACCAACACAACATGACGCGCCAACCTGGTGATTCGGCAACTAGGACATGCTTGTTGCACGGCTTTACAATGCTTTACAGTTCGTCTCGTGCCCCATCCCTCTATAAATCTTTCCCCATACCTACCAGCCTTTGGGAGTCGCCTCCGGCCTGGACGGTTTAAGGGCAATGGGCGGGCCGCAACAGGTTGGGCTAGGGCAGTGATCAGGAACCAGAAGCTGGCAGGGTCGTGAAACCGGGAGGCTAGACATTGCAAGCGCGGGTGGCAATTCCGCCCAGAAGCTCTAGCTCGGGCCTTGGCCGTGTAGAGCATGAACATGCACCAGCCGTACACCAGCTCACGCATTTCGGCGCCCACGCGCTCACAGTAACGCAGGACTTCAAAGCCACAGTGGCCAAACATAGCAAAAGAGCCCCGCCAAACAAATGCTCCAAATTCAGCGTGTTGTCATTTGAGGTGAAGAGGCAACCTCAAACAAGAACCGCAACTGTTGCCAGCCTGACTATTCAAAGCGTGGGATGCTAGCACGAGGCCCATGCGTCAGGACGCTTCGTGAAAAAGGCCCCTTGCCCACAAGCATACTTGCGGGGCGAGCTTTCATTAATTCATCGTCCAGGCAGCCGCAAAAGCGACAATCCGTGCCCTGGAGGAACAGGGGCGGCAAGTTCTGGGTGATAGCCAGGTCCTGGAAAAACTCAAATTGAGAATGGCCACCCTCAACTCGAACCAGTAGGGGGCTTCCAACTTGGACAGTCATCTCTGGCTCCAAAGAATGAGCAATAGTAGCAGTCGTACTACTAGTAGTAGTAGTAGTAGTAGTAGTCAAAGGAAGTTTAACAAGAAACTTCCGTAGTACTGGAACTAAATGAGCTAGCTGCTTTGACATATAGCTATGACAGGTAGCTAGCATGACAAATAGATAGCTTTGACATATAGCTAGCTTGACAGATAGATAGCTTTCCAATAGGCTTGCATGACAGATAGATAGCTTTGACATATAGCCAGCTTAACACGTAGATAGCTTTCTCAAGTATAGATTTCGTGGCAGGCGCAGCACTTTCGCAAGCACTCTCTGCGAGCTGGGGGATGGCAAGATGCAGAAAACGTTGGCGCTGTGCGTGAATTGGGCTTCCGGACTGTGCGCAAACCACCTCGGCTGCGACGCCTGTACGGAGGCGGTCTCGGAACGGTCTCGGAACGGTCTCGGAACGGTTCGGAACGGGTTCGGAACGGGTTCGGAGACGGGCCCATTGGCACGGCCGCGCGAAGGTTTCGCAAGGTTTGAATTGCGTGGCAGGCGCAGCACTTTCGCAAGGTCAAGTATAGATTTCGTGGCAGGCGCAGCACTTTCGCAAGGTCAAGTATAGATTTCGTGGCAGGCGCAGCACTTTCGCAAGCACTCTCTGCGAGCTGGGGGATGGCAAGATGCAGAAAACACTTTCGCAAGCACTCTCTGCGAGCTGGGGGATGGCAAGATGCAGAAAACGTTGGCGCTGTGCGTGAATTGGGCTTCCGGACTGTGCGCAAACCACCTCGGCTGCGACGCCTGTACGGAGGCGGTCTCGGAACGGTCTCGGAACGGGTTCGGAACGGGTTCGGAACGGGTTCGGAGTCGGGCCCATTGGCACGGCCGCGCGAAGGTTTCGCAAGGTTTGAATTGCGTGGCAGGCGCAGCACTTTCGCAAGGTCAAGTATAGATTTCGTGGCAGGCGCAGCACTTTCGCAAGGTCAAGTAAAAAATTCGTGGCAGGCGCGCAGCACTTGCCGCAAGCACTCACTGCGAAGCTGGGGATGGCAAAGATTAGAAAAACTTGGCGCTGTGCGTGAATGGTTGAAATCAATTGGGCTTCCGCATTGAACCCACAACCACCTCGGGGCTGCACGCCTGGTACGAGAGGCGGACTCGGAACGGGTCCGTGAACGGTCCCTCCGAAACGGGTTCGGAACGGTTCGGAAACGGGTGCCGCGCTTTTTTGGTCTCACGGCCGCGCGGAAAAAAAAAAAAGGGTTTTCGCAAGGTTTGAATTGCGTGGCAGGCGCAGCACGTTTTCAAGGTGGGTCAAGTATAATTTCGTGGCAAGGCGCCAGCACTATCGCAAGGTCAAGTATAGATTTCGTGGCAGGCGCAGCACTTTCGCAAGCACTCTCTGCGAGCTGGGGGATGGCAAGATGCAGAAAACGTTGGCGCTGTGCGTGAATTGGGCTTCCGGACAGTGCGCAAACCACCTCGCCTGCGACGCCTGTACGGAGGCGGTCTCGGAACGGTCTCGGAACGGTCTCGGAACGGGTTCGGAACGGGTTCGGAGACGGGCCCATTGGCACGGCCGCGCGAAGGTTTCGCAAGGTTTGAATTGCGTGGCAGGCGCAGCACTTTCGCAAGGTCAAGTATAGATTTCGTGGCAGGCGCAGCACTTTCGCAAGGTCATGTATCGATTTCGTGGCAGGCGCAGCACTTTCGCAAGGTGCTGCGTCCACTCTCTGCGAGCTGGGGGATGGCAAGATGCAGAAAACGTTGGCGCTGTGCGTGAATTGGGCTTCCGGACAATGCGCAAACCACCTCGGCTGCGACGCCTGTACGGAGGCGGTCTCGGAACGGTCTCGGAACGGGTGCGGAGACGGGCCCATTGGCACGGCCGCGCGAAGGTTTCGCAAGGATTGAATTGCGTGACAGGCGCAGCACTTTCGCAAGGTCAAGTATAGATTTCGTGGCAGGCGCAGCACTTTCGCAAGGTCAAGTATCGATTTCGTGGCAGGCGCAGCACTTTCGCAAGGTCAAGTACAACATTCGTGGCAGGCGCATCACTTTCGCAAGGTCAAGTACAGAATTTGTGGCAGGTGCAGCACTTTCGCAAGGTCTAGTGCAAAATTCGTGGCACGCGCAGCACTTTCGCAAGGTCAAGTACAGATTTTGTGGCAGGCGCAGCACTTTAGCAAGGTCAAGCACAGATTTGGTGGCAGGCGCAGCATTTTTGCAAGGTCAACTTTCGCAGCCGGGCTCGAAAATCGCAACTTTTAAGTACGAAAGTAGTACGCGAAGTCAACTTTCGCAGCTGGGGCTTGAAAATCGCAACTTTTAAGTACGAAAGTAGTGCGCAAAGTCCACTTTCGCAGCCGGGGCTTGAAAATCGCAACTTTTAAGTACGAAAGTAGTACGCAAAGTCCACTTTCGCAGCTGGGGCTCGAAAATCGCGACTTTTTAGTACGAAAGTAGTACGCGAAGTCCACTTTCGTAGCTGGGGCTCGAAAATCGCAACTTTTAACTACGAAAGTAGTACGTGAAGTCCAGCCTGGAGCCCGAAACAACCGTTTTTAAACAGTCGTAAGAACATCCATCATCAGTTCCGGTCGTTTGCTGCAGTTCCGGCCGTTTGGCCTGATCACCATTTTCTGTTTTTCGTGTTGGGCATATCCTCGATTGACTTGCGTCTCTGCAAGACTGGCACCAACCCTGCCCGGCCAACCCGCAGGGTCTCAAGCGTGCCGCAGCAGTCTGAAATGCACTGATCCCTTTGTTTTCTCTTCTAGGCTTTCATGCAAAAGGGAAAGGCATGGAGAAGGGGGCTGCGCGAACTGCACACTTTCAAGACCCTTCGGTTCCGCGGGCAGAGCCACATAGGTGTACCGCCAGCATCAGCAGCATGTGGGGTCGACGAACATTGTTTATCACCCCAAAGCCCTGGCGAGAACACTATAGTTGAGCGGCTTTGCCAGTGGGTCAAATCACTCTTCCCTCACGCACCCAATGGGTGTCTTTCAGGTGGTTTCCCAAACAACCCTTTCCAATCTTTACAAAGGAGGCTTCTGCTGGTAAAAAGGAGTGGTCGCCCCAATGGCCCCATCCAAAAGGAACCGAAAACCATTCAATTCAGAAACAGTTGTTTGCACGGACGGTTCTGGTTGTTGCACGCACGGTTCTGGTTGTTGCACGCCTGGTTCTGGATGTTTGCTGGTTTTGTCCATCGCCAGTTTCGGCCCGAAAACGGGTTTTCGGGCCGAAAACGAGCCGAAAACGGAAGACAACGGGCCGAAAACGGGCCGAAAAACCGCCCTCCGAAAATCCAATGTTCCCCCCGCAAAAAAAAGAATCGAGGAGTCCGGCCGCCCAAAAGCAAGCCTTTTTTTAGGGTGCCCTTTCTTATAATGAGGAAGGTTCTAAACCAAGGCTAACACCATGAGTGGACAGAAATTTGCGTCTGCGTCGTTTCTTGTTTTGCTGCTTGGTTCCATTGGGAAAGGGACAGGTCTGTAAAGCAAGCCAGGCGCACTGGGCAAAGGCTGTGAAGAACACATGCATGCAGCTACACTCATTATGCTCTGATCTGAAGTGCCATAACTGTACTTAGCAGTGGCTTCTCGATTCTAGATTGTGCACATGAATGCTCACGGCAATTTCTGGTTCAGCCAACTGGAAAAATGGAAAGTAGACAGGCCTGGCAAAGTCAAGGCCGCGTAGGCTAGGGATTTCGAACCGGTTCCGGTCGTTTGCCTCAGAAGTGGTTTTTCGGCCCGCACCTGCTTTGAAACAGTCGTTCAAGGCCCCAGGAGTTTCGCAGCTGGGGCTCGAAAATCGCAACTTTTAAGTACAAAAGTAGTACGCGAAGTCAACTTTCGGGGATTGAACATCGCAACTTTTAAGTGCAGAGAAAGATGGGTAGATAGATAGATCAATAAACAGATATAGAGATAGCTAGAGAGATAGATAGAAAGAGATAGAGAAACAGAGATAGACAGAGATAGATAGATTTGTAGATAGATAGACAAATAACTAGCTAGATAGATAAAGAGATAGAGAGATAAATAAATAGAGAGGTAGATAGATAGATAGGAGATAGAGAGGTAGATAGATAAATCGCAACTTTTAAGTACGAAAGTAGTACGCGAAGTCAACTTTCGCAGCTGGGGCTTGAAAATCGCAACTTTTAAGTACGAAAGTAGCGCGCAAAGTCCACTTTCGCAGCCGGGGCTTGAAAATCGCAACTTTTAAGTACGAAAGTAGTACGCAAAGTCCACTTTCGCAGCTGGGGCTCGGAAATCGCGACTTTTTAGTACGAAAGTAGTACGCGAAGTCCACTTTCGTAGCTGGGGCTCGAAAATCGCAACTTTAAACTACGAAAGTAGTACGTGAAGTCCAGTTTCGCAGCTGGGGCTCGAAAATCGCAACTTTTAAGTACGAAAGTAGTACGCGAAGTCAACTTTCGGGGATTGAACATCGCAACTTTTAAGTGCAGAGATAGATGGGTAGATAGATAGATCAATAAACAGATATAGAGATAGCTAGAGAGATAGATAGAAAGAGAGAGAAAGAGACAGAGAAACAGAAAGAGAAAGAGAAAGAGAGAAAGAGAGAAAGAGAGAAAGAGAGAAAGAGAGAAAAAGAGAGAGAGAGAGAAGCAAGGGGCCAAGGACAGTTCTCCAAACTATAGTTGTTCACTGCTTTGAAACTTCCGCCCCCCGGCTCTGCCGGACCTTACTTGGTAGTAGTAGTAGTAGTAGTAGTAGTAGTAGTAGTAGTAGTAGTACTAGTAGTAGTACTAGTAGTAGTAAGAATAGTAGAAGTAGTAGTAGTAGTAATAGTAGTAGTAGTAGTAGTAGTAGTAGTGGTGGTAGTAGTAGTAGTGGTAGTAGTAGTACTAGTACCAGTAGAGCCGACAAAGCCGGTGGGCGGAAGTTTCCAAAATAAAAA